AACACCCGCAGTGTGCAACAACACCCGCTGTGCAACAACACCCGCTGTGCAACAACACCCGCGGTGTGCAACAACACCCGCTGTGCACACCCTGTGTGTGTGCGGGAGGAAACACCCGTGGTGTGCAACAACACCCGCCGTGCAAAAACACCCGCTGTGCACACCCTGTGCGTGTGCGGGGTGAAACACCCGCTGTGCACACCCTGTGCGTGTGCCATTTACAAACACCCACTGTGCACCTGCGCTGTGCACACCCTGCACACGTGTGGGGCTAAACACCCTCTGTACACAGCCACAGTGCACACCCTGCACACGTGTTGTGCTAGAACACCCGCTGTGCACACCGTGCACGTGTGCGGGACAAAACACCTGCTATGCACACCCTGTGTGTGTGCAGGGCAAAACCCCCCGCTGTGCACACCCACTGCACACAGTCTGCACATGTGTTGTGCAAAAACACCCGCTGTGCACACCCTGCATGCATGTGGTGCACACCCTGCACATGTGCAGGATAAATACGCCCTATGCACACCCGTTCCGCACACTCTGCATGCATGAGGGGCAAAAACACCCACTGTGCACACCCTGCACGTGTGTGGTGCAAAAACACCCGCAGTGCACACCAACTGTGCAAACGTGGCATGCGAGCAGTGCAAAAACCCCCGCGGTGCACAGGCTGCACACCCGCTGCACACGCACACCGTGTGCACACACCGCACACGTGCTGCACGCACACCCCATGTGCACACACTGCACACGTGCTGCACGCACACCCCTTGTGCACACACCGCACACCCTGTTTTGTGTGTGCACACTGCATGCATACAGCCAGCGAGACACACAGGAGTGCAGCACGTGAGCAGTGCAGTGCAACCATGCAGTGTGTGAGCAGTCTAGCCGTGCAGTGGAGTCGCGCAGTGCAGGAGCTGTGCAGCGTGCGAGCAGTGCAATGCAGTGCAGGCGCTGTGCAGCGTGTGAGCAGTGCAGTGCAGGCGCTGTGCAGCGTGCGAGCGGTGCAGTGCAGCAGAGGAGCTGTGCAGCATGCAAGCAGTGCAGTGCAGGCGCTGTGCAGCGTGCGAGCGGTGCAGTGCAGCAGAGGGGCTGTGCAGCGTGCGAGCAGTGCAATGCAGTGCAGCAGAGCTGCGCAGCGTGCGAGCAGTGCAATGCAGTGCAGCAGAGCTGTGCAGCGTG